GTTTTAGTTTTTCTTTTTCTGTTTCATGTTCTTTCTTTATAGATTATGATTCTAGAGGCACATCATTTGACTTTTGGTCTACTAGCTGGCAATGGTATTTAGGCATAAGGGCCACCTCTGGGCCTCTTTTGGTTCTCCAAATAAGATATCTCTGAGTGACCTTATTAGTAAATGGTCCATGGTTTACTTTCTTAGGCTTTTTCTAAGCCTTGATCATACTATCAATCTTTTGAAAGATTCAAGGCTTCCTATATGAATAGTCAAATTGGTTGAGCTTACAAGTCATAAAAGTAAACTGTTCGACTCCATGCTGTCTCCTTACCATTAGTGGTGCATAACTCATTAAACACCATAACCCTAAAAGTGGAACCCCTGTCTCATCTTCACATTGATACAACATAGGTTCCTGGTTCATTCATAGAGCTAATTATTTTACCTAACCGACTGTGAGCTTTTGTAACAGACATTTTTACCCTTTATAAGTATTTGTTTCTGGCTAAATGCTCTTATAGAACTCTTTAATTGAGACTCAATTACAAAAATAAAGCTTGGAGAAAGCACTCTTCTTGCATTCAAAATGGTTTTTCATCCACAGATATAGTAATGGTATGCAACCCATGAATCTTGCCTTGTCATTTTGTCTACAAAACTTTAAAGATCTGACAGTTTCTATGAAGATAACTGGTGAAGGGTTACACCCTTTTTTGATCTACTTAAATAGATCAACCACTTCTATCTCAATGTGACCTAAGACCTTAAAAAAGATGATCATCCTATATATGGCTATTGCAAACATATTTATTCTCTAATCATCATTTGCATCTTTGACAATGAAATCTTGGAGCATTTTCCATGGGATAACCTTATGTTCTCTTTTTTTTCGAATGTATGAATGTATGATCTCTTTTTCTATTCCTAGAATCTAGACTAGCTTTTGACGATTTTTTTATTTATGCTTTTTCACATATATTCTGTTTGGATATAGTAAATGCATACCCACTAAAGTTGAATACTCTTCTATCGTTAGCACCAAATCAACCTCATTAAAGATGAAGCAATGGTAGAAAGATCCCAGAACTGTATCATTGCCCTAATGAGTGAGTTATCAACATCTACTGACAAGAGATATGCAATATGCCTAAGCTTCTAACAAAAAGCTTATGTATTGAATGAGTCATGCTATTCCATAAAGTTTGATAGGCTTTTCAAATCATTCTATTTAAGGAACAGGCAAACTTTCTTTGATAATGTGGAGACATGACCAGGTGGTAAGTAGTCTCTTTCTTCTTACTGCTTCTTCTCTAATTCTATTTTTACATCTATGGAAGAGTCGCATTTGAAAAAGATAGATAAGGTACAAATCTGACGTTCTATAGAGTCCATGAGAACTTTTGTTAAAATGGCTTTTAAGGTAAGAACACTATGCAATCTACGAGTATGTTTATGAATATGCATAAGAGAAAAAGAAATAAAAGAACACAAAAAGATTAGTTAGTCATTTCAATAATAAAAAGCATAGAATAAGCACCATATAACAAGTAAAATAATAGCATGACCTTGAAATTTAGATTAACTACAAAGGTTGAAGAAATAAGGCTCTATCTATGGTTGGGCTCTTAAGGTTAACTATATATAGTTTGGGTTAATTCTAAAAGGTTCTCAATTGTTCCCTACATTATAGTCCATCACAGACTAGTAAGACACATTGATCCTCGCCCATCATAGGCTACAATCGAAAAGGGTTCAATTTGAATGAGAGCGTTTTACAAGCTTATGCAAAGACATGAAATCTCACGAGGGCATAGGTACTTCACTCCTTCCTAAAGGTAGAGCTCGGGTGGAGAGTTTATGTTATGCATATGCAAATGAATGATATGTATATGTACAATAAATAAATAATTAAGCAAATATAAGCAATGAATAAAAAGAAAAACAAATGAATAATTAAGCAAGTATAAACAATGAAAAGAAATAAAAATAAATAACTAAGCAAGTATAAGCAATGAAAAGGAACAAAATAATTTCAAATTTATTAAGCAAGGCTTAGATGATAAGAAATCATTTATTGGCTTGACTTTTGATATCCCCAGTGGAGTCGCCAAACTGTCATAAAGTATAGATCCGTAAACCTACCGTTGACATGATTAGAGGAGATGTCACAAATCTTTTTTGTTAAGGTGTGATTAGCCACTTGATTGAATCTATCCTATTTAAAGAAGAGTCACAAGATTGATTTAGGTTATTTAAATAGTAGATTATGATATATGAAACAAGAGTTTAGGTTTAGAAGTGTGGTTATGCGTGAAAAAAATTATAGCACTTCCACAACGCCCATCCAAAGGATGATACTAGTTTAATTTTAAATTATTTAAGCCTTGATCATATTTGTAATTTACCAAATTATTTAATATTGAAAATTAGTCTCAAAATTGTCTCAATAGTTTGGTAGCAACTTAAGATAATTCTCTCACCTTATGAGTATTCATAGAGACTAGTATCATATTCTGAAGAGGCTCCATCGTCGAATTTATTATAGTAATTTATTTAGAAAAATTAGTAAAATCTTCCAATAGTTTGGTAGGACTTACTTTGAAGTAGTTATCCCAATAGTTTGGTGAGATTTTATTTGAAAATATTTGTAAAAATGTTTATAAAATTTTATTATTATTATTTTTTTAAAATCATTAAATCTCATAATAATTTGGTAAGATTTAATTTAAGAAACAATCCCTTAATAGTTTGGTGGGATAAAAAATATTTTTTAGAAACTGATTTATGAAATTTCTTAATAGTTTGGTGGATTCCATAAATTTATCTGAAAAATATTTTTTATTTTTTATTTTTATTTTTATTTTTTTGTTTTTGTTTTTGTTTTTTTTTGCTTTTTAGGAACATAAAAATTTTTATTAATTATTTTTTTTTTGCAAAGAATTTATTAGACGACAAATCATAAAAATATATAACTAATAAAAATAAATTAAATAAAAATAAAAGTCTAATATAAAATAGAAAATAAACTCAAAAAATAAAATTAAAATAAAAAAGAAAATATGTTATTCCGATTGGGTTAACATGCAGGTCAGTGTGTTGACACGTGGGTCTGGGACTTGCAAAACAATGTCACTTCAGGGTAGTATAAATGCTTCTCTTTAGCGTTTTGGTCTCAAAAGCCTTTACCTACTCTCTCTCTAATCTTTAATTATCTCTAACTTATCTCTAGAATCCCTAAAAATATCTACCAAAAACTTCAATCAGAAACTGAAAATCTCATTGATTTTTAGCAAAGTCATTGAAAAATTTAACCGAAAACTAGAAAACCCCTCAATTTCTGGAAAAGACGTTGGAATATTGCCAAAAAACTCAACTTCTCGTCAAGAAATTCATCAAAAAACTAATGTTCTTCCCAAAAATCTAGAAAAACCCATAAAACCCAGAAATTTCAAAAAATTCCCAAAGTTTTCAAGAAAACTTGAACCTTGCCCAGATCTCCTCAAAAAAACCCCCAGAATTTCACATTAAACTTCAGAAACTCAAACATCAACCCAGAATTCCAAAACTTTTCCAAAATTGAAATTCAAAACCTTATTGCCAAAAATTTTCAGATTTTTTTTTTCAGAAATTCCTTCCTCCCTTGTTCCTGTGATTCTTGATCAATTTATAAGCAATCTTAGAAAGATTTTTAGGAAGTGGATAGAATCAATCCAAGTTTGAATCTTGGGATTGGTTTTGTTCGAGCATTATCCTGGGTCTCTTATTTGATCCCAGTTAATTTCAACATTTACCCCAATTTGACTTTGTATTAAAGATTTGCGACTGAGATTTTAGCCAAATTCAAATTTTATTATTTATGTGTAGATTCGAACGAAAAAGAAAAAAAACGTAAATAATAATAATAATATACTATAGTATAATAAATAAAGAGACTATAATAACATATAATATAAGGTACTATACTATATACTATACTATGATAATACTAAAAATAATACATTATAATATACAGCAACATACTATACTATAGTAAAAAAAAAAAAGAAAATCAACCCCGATTTATCCCGAATATAGATAAGTGTCTACAAGCTTCAAAAAAAAAATTTTTACAAAGGAAAGTATAATTTAAGGATAAAAAAAGAGGTAGGATTTAAATTTAAAACTTAATAGATGTCGTATATTAAAAATAATTACATAAATTAATTGAGTTAATTTTTGAGTTCTAAAGAAAAAATTTTTGAAGATACTCGTAAGTTGTCTACCCGCTAATTACAACAAACCTTTTGTAGCGCAATTAAAAGATTTTCATGCATCTTGGACAGCTACTCGTTGGTTCAATGGGTAGATAACCCATTAAGCCATTTGTAGTAGCTTGTTTGATCAGTCAAACGCCAAGTAATTCCAAACAAAAAATGCTTGAGGTGAGTTGTTCATGGTTCCAGTTATTTCAACGTTTTTTAAGATCAAGGTTTGAGGGCTGATAAAGAAAAGAAACCCAAAAAAACAGTGAGTAATTTTATGGAAAATCTGGTTCTCAACCCCTTCTTTGTTTCTTCAAAAATGTGCGTGCAAGTCATTGTAATATTGACAATTACTTCAAGTAATAAACCATAGTATTAGGGTTTAGGAGAATTGAATTTTGTAGTATTACGGTTGCACCCAACTTATTTATCGATACTATTATTCCTTGGCTTTTTTCATTCAATAGATAAAGATGAACATTTTTTACCATGAAATTCTGAAGAAAAAAAAAAAAAAGAGGTATGAAGCCAAATTACTGTATAAAATAGACAATTATCAGAAAAAAAAAAAAAAGAAGAAGAAGAAAAATCTTGGTTTCCCAGGTTCTTTTTGAATTTTTTGACAGCCAGAAAAAGGATGACAAAGCATCCATATCCAATTGTGTACTCTCTGAAAGATCAAATGTGGTTTCTTTTTTGAGTTTCGGTGTAGCTGTTGGCCGTTGCTGAAGCTTTTTTCCAGCCTAAGTGTAATGAATTTGATATGCCTTTTTTTTTTTTTTTTGGGATTTGTTCAAAGGTTGAAACAATTCATATCATCGAAGAAGACATGGCACTGTTTACTTTGATTTAGGTATATGCTCTATATACCACTTCCAGAGGAACTCTGTATTGTAGATTGCAGGCTGAGGCCTAATTAAAGATCCAAGGATTTACAGCTTTGCTTTGATGAAGTCAAAGAGGAAGGCTTGATACTAACAGGCCCGTTTTCTCTCGATCTGTTAGCTTGTGTTAACGTGAACATGGATGAATCTTGTTGGAAAGGGATCATTTGAGATGGCAGATCATACCATTTTGAAGCCTGAGAGCCATTAAGATGGGCATCTTGTTCGTGTTGTTTGAAACTAATTTGAGATTGTTCATAAAGAGCGAACTCAGGAGCAGTGTAACAGGGAGAATCATAGTACCATGGAAAGGAGCCTTGGTAGCTGAAACCAAGGCTGTTTTGGAAAGGCTGAAGGTAACAATTGATGCTAGCTCTCTTTGCTTGAAGCTGCAACCTTTTCTTCTTCATTCTCTCTTTCTTGTGAGCATTTTGATGACCTCCAAGCGCCTGTGAGTTTGCGAATTCCTTGAAGCAATATTGGCATTCGAATTTATTGTAATCGGTCTCTTCCGTTGAGTTTTTCTCCTTGGTAGGAGTCTTCCTGGTAGATGAAACTGTGTTTGATGAATTTACACTTTCATCACCTTCAGCAGAACCTTTCAGGAAGTACTTCTCATTGTTCTTACTCGGATTGAGCTCAAACCCAAACAATCTAAGCTTCTTCTCGGCAGAGGATCCAGCTTGAAAACAACCATTTTCACCATCACATGTCCCAGAAACAAGGCTAGAGGCATCCTTTTCCATCTCTCTTGAAATGAGAAAATCGACTAGTAAATGAAAATTTGCTTAGCAGTACTAAATGTACCTATGACTATGAATTGTTTGGCTTCTACTTTTTATAGTAATTCTATGGTTTCCAACAATGCAATGCATCTCAAAGAGGAATAATTAAAGAAGTCAGATCAGAGAAGCCTTCTCATGCAATAATATTGATTTTCTTTTAGTTTATAATAAAATAAATAAACTTGTGCATTTTGTATTTGTATTAGATACACTTGAAACTTTCTTAATCAAAGAGGATTCAGTGTGCTTTTTCTGAACGAGGAATTATAACCATATGGTCTGTAACCAATTTTAAATAAATAATAAAGACAATCAATTATGGTACCACTAGCATATTTAAAGCAAATATTCCATTCTCAAGAGAGTTATTATTATACTAACTCTGATTTAAAAAGTCAAAGAAAGAAGGGGACGAAATCTCCAGGGCTTCTTACTTTGCAAGGTATCCCCATACCCCCACTGTGCTTAAATCCCATAATCCAAACGATTATATTATTAAACCAGTAAATAAACTAGTAATATTAACGTGGTCTATTGATAGAGTATTAGACTTGTAGTTTCAGTGATCATATTCCAAACTTGATAATCTCAAATATCAAAATATATATATATATATATATATATATTAAACAAACTAATCAGTCAGTCGATTGATCATGTATATTAATAATCTGCTTTAGCTCTCCAAGCTTATCATAAAATATAAGAATTAATAAAAACTTGTGTGAATGTGGGGGTGTGGATGCCCAGTCCCATCCACCACAGGTCTCCCACTAGTGCATAAACAATGCTGAGCTCTATAGAATGAGATTATTCAGCACTTCATGAAGCTTCTCTGCAATTATCCTTCTCCACCAACAACGGTATTTTATTTTTTGTTTAAGAAAAAAATAAATAAATAGGGGGTAATCTGTCGATATTGACCATGTTTAGGGAATGTGATTAGAATATTAAGAGAGAGTAGTTGCTAGATGAAGGAATATAAAGAAGTGGGCAATGATGTAAGCATATACACTAGTGCAGTGCAGGGTCTTCGATGAGATCTGGGCATATCTTCTTAGAGCAGGCAAAGCCTATATTTTATACAAAAAGCATATGTTTTCAGGTGAATCAAGTCATCCATAATCAAAACATTTGTGTTGGACAATTGTTGTGGTTGGACCCCACTTTTTGTAGCTTTGGGTACATGTTAGAAACTGTCTTTAGATTGTGTTGTTATTTCAATGTCCCCATAGCTGGCTTGATAGTTCATTGGTGGAAGAAGTCCACCAATAGATCTCTCATGCTAATCAAATTACTTTCTTGCTTTAGGAGAAGAATTCCAAGTTGGCATGCTATCATCAAGCATTTTAAGTATCCTAACATTATCGTGGAATAAACGGAAGCCATTTTGGAGGAGAGTGGATTATGGTGGCTAGGTGGGTTGGTTGGTTGGGTGGTTGATTGATTTCAGCTGGTTTCAATTCATATTTTCCCTTGCTTTGCTTTGATAGGGGATCAAAAAGTGGCCCTACCATCAGCCAACCCCCCAAAATTCCTGTTTCCATCCAATCTAATCTTTGCTTCTCTTCTGGACAACTTCAAAAGCATTTAAATATATCTTAAAAGAAAACCACAAAGAATGCCAAGATTGACTAATGCAACATGAATAAATATACTATTAATTTAAATAAGTTGATCTGATTTCAGCTGCAAACAATATTCAAGGTTTCTAAATTCTAATATGTTACTAACACTCAATAGAATATTTGACGCAAAAGCTCGTGCGAATGGAAGAAAGACAGTTGTAACACTCTTAATCCTTTTCTGAATTCTTTTTAGCTTATATGCAAGGGTTTTGCCCACCTGCTCCTGCTACGTCTCAAACTCAGGCCTCTGGAATTTGAAAATTCTGTTGTATAATCTTTGCAACTATTACTGTATTACAGAGCAAGTTGATGTTGGTTGCACCTGCTTAGCATACTCTAAAAAAGGTGATGACGAACCTAACTTATTTTATGTAATTATTTTTAACATGTAAGATCTAGTAGATCTGCTTTCAAATTTTAACATCTATAACTTTTGCTCCTATCTTTCAAGCTATGGCTTCCTTTATTTAAAAAAAAAAAAAAAGTAGCTGACCTAAAACAGGGAATAATACCTTCATTCATTTTTTTTGCACTTATCTTTGTTAGATGGTGCAAAAAACATAATCCAATTTTACCTAAAGGAATTTTAATTTAGGCGGGCAATCACAAATCGAGAAGAGTGTAATGATAAAAAGTGAAAGCTTCCCAGTAATGGAAGAAAGAGGCAAGAGGGATCTGGTCCTAATCAGGTCCAGTCATGTCATGGTGGAGAAGCAGGTGTTGGAAGGCACTAGGAAATTCATCCAGCTGGTAGAATACTTGAACAAACATGTAACATGCCAGCCATTTTTCAGCTTTAATATCACTTAGCAACTCGGGAAAACATAAAATAACAAGTCAAAACAATAGTGAGAACAGTAAACTAATAATGAAGTTTATTATTAATGGTAGACATGGAATTGAACATAACTACTAATAAACTCAGTTTTTGTTCTTTTCTTTTATAAACTAATAATGAAGTTTATTATTAATGGTAGACATGGAATTGAACATAACTACTAATAAACTCAATTTTTGTTCTTTTCCTTTCAAACATGGGAATTTTGTTTTATGAGAATCAGCTGCATGCATTGTTGCACTGTTCCATGATAAGGGAATCAGTAGCTTTCTGAAAGGGAAAGGTTCAACTTTCAAGCACTGCTTCAAATACGGCTCAGATATTTGGTCATGCAGCAAGAATGTTTCTTTTCTTACCGCACGTATAGAATCTCCACAACCATTCCGATGAAATGAAGTTGACAACCCAAAAGCCCAAAGTCTTATCCGCATCAACTAATCCATGCCAAGTTGCGAAACACTCTCCTTCATTGGGCTGCTTAAAATTTCAAAAATACAAGGAAAAAATTCACACTGATAGAATCAGATAAATTTAATTTCGTGATTTTTTTTACAAAAAAGCTACAGTACGAGAATAGAGGAGGTGTTACACGTGCTAAGATATAAATATAAAATTTATTGAATGTTATCTTTTAAGGATGATTATTTAACCCAACTTAATTAAACTCTAAATTCTAATCACGTGATGTTTGGATTTGTATGAAGTCAATTATCATCCATAGCAATCTCACATTCAGAGAATCAAGAAAACAATAGCGCAATAAACACAATTCAATGGCACACCATATACATACAAACATACAAAAAGATAGTACACCTGAATGGAAAATCAAAGGTAACTGAGTCATTATTGGTCATAATAAATATATTGACCAAATACAATAAATCTATTGACAAACTTGACTAAGCAAATTCCTGGTATTGAAAAAAGAAAGAAAAGCTTACTAGGAACCAGGATGTTTCCTGGTGGGTACAGAGCTCAAATTGTGTGCTTAGGACAAAATAGAAGCCAATTGTAAGCTCAATTGTCTCAGGTTTGCAGATTGACCCACCCACCTATCCTGTCGAAATCCTGACGTTGAGCAATCCAAGTCTCAGCCGTCAGACTATAAGGTTTTATTTCTAACGACACAAATCAAAAATCGAAGAGTATGCAAATTGATGTAGTTTATTCTTGTGGCGGCTACAGGCAAATTTTAAGGTTTTGCTTTCAATGACGTGAACTTTTTCTTCCCTAGCCTTCTATTATTCTTGGGAATCCATCAATTTGTTTAATACCGTTTGCTTCCACCAGAGAGTAGACAGGAGAACCTCTCAAGTTTCGTAACCTGAAGGGCACATATTCTCCAGTCATAAAATCGAGTCCCACCATTACACATTTACACTATTATAGCCCAGTGGCCGGCGCTTTGAAGACGGAGTTCTTTGTCCTAGGCTCCTTGCCGAAACAAGTTTGAACAAGTACCTTCATTTTCGCTTGTAAAGATGAGCATTGATTCGAAAAAGTTTGAGTGTATAAGAAGCAATCATAAAGCAAAGTAAGCACCGAGCAGCACTTCATGACATGCATGCTTATTTTTAAAGAAAAAGGAGCTTATAACAAAATAGTAAAGTAGGGGAAAGGGCGAGAATATTTCCTACAAAAGGATCCAAGCAGCCAGTATTATGGAGAATACAAGCTTCTAAAACTGGAGTTCCCTCGGCAGTTTAGAACATTTCATATTGCATGCATTTGCAAGAATATTCTTTCTAGCAACAGCATAGTGAAAGACAATTCATTTGAAATATTGATATGAAAACTTTCTAATCAGCCTTGGATTCAAAAAATGTGACAGCTGATTCATGGTTCACTATCTAACCCAAAGGAAAGATACAATGGTTTTACTTAGACAAGATTCATGAATATTTGAGCGCCCCATCATACCAAATGAACAAAGAGTCATGGTTGCCTTTTGGAACGAGGCAAGAGAGCAAGAAGAATCTTTTTCCTAGGGCCCTGCAAATCAAACCACCTTCATTAGGGACAACTCAGCATGTTATGTAAATTTCAACAGCTATATCTTAAGATTACATTTCCACATGCATACACACATGATTGGAGGGGAGAGCAAACAGTTACCAAACTATATTAACATAAAAAATAATTATGATAAAAATTTTTTTGACCAAAGGATGTATCTAGAAAACACCCTAATCACAAGCCCATTTTACCACTTAAAAGTAAAATCCCGTAAATTTATTGTGAGCAAGAGGCAAATTGCAAATCTTCTCATCTGTACCACGGAAAGCACCTGGATACTGCAGCCTTTCAAAAGTTGAAACAATTAAGTAGTAGGCTACTCAGCAGTAAACCTGGAACTATAACTAGAACTTAGCAGCAAGGAAAATCCCTGATTTCCTAGTACATAGTGCTAATGAAAATTTTCAACTATATTCCACACGATCAACTTCATAGCAAGCTTTATATTCTCAGGCCACCGAGTAGCCAGAACAATGAATGAAAAGAATAAAACTATATGAGAGCCTTGAGTTATTATAAATTTGGCTTAGGCAACGGCAACAGGTAATCAAAATTCATATAAAAGAAATCAAAGCACACAGGCACTTACCATGAAGTACTTAGGCATTCAAATCAGTCGCAGCTTTGAGTGCAAGTGCACATACTAAAGATCAGAATTTTAAAAAAATGTTTTGGGAACTGAAGTTTAAATGCTTAACAATTTCAACTTTGTGAATCTAACTCATCAGAAATCTGAGTTTAGGTATGCACATCAGTTATTAGTTTGGGCACATCAATTATGAAAATAAAAAACAGAAAATTTTAATAATAAAAAATACTAATACAGAAAAGAAGGGTAAAATACCATAGGTATTCCTATCTCTTTAAGGTCATTTTCCCCCATTTGTTTCAATGCAGTCATATCCACCTGAATAAAATATCAAATCTACAGATCAGCCGAAAAAGGAGATTACAGATAAAACAAACAAACAAACATCCAATTCTCCAATCAAAATCACAATATCTATCCATGATATTTCAATAACTTAAAAAAAAGTAAAGTAAAGCAAATCTTCAAAATTTGCATGATAGAACAGCTGCAGCAACAACCTCCATCCAGAAATTTCCTCTGTACAGTCTGTTTGCGAACATCAGTCACTAAATGCTTCTTGAAGATACTTTGCATTGTTTTATAAGATAGATTCACAATTAGAACATCACCAAAATTTGCAACTATCTCAAACACAACAATGTCAGCTATAGAAGGCATAGCAACTGTATTTGACATTTTTAAGTCAGAGTAAATTTTGATATTTTATTTAAAGTAAAATCAAATAAGATAGATGTGCCCCTGCATCTTCCTAACACAACATCCAAGCATCAATTGCAACTGTTAAAGCTACAAGAAATTACTGGTTTGTCCTATCCCCTATTTGATTATTCGGAAAGGCTTCCTCCAAAAACACACTTTCCTATCCCCTATTTGATCATCCAGAAAGGTTTCCTCCAAAAACAAACGCAGTGCCCTCAGACATACATTTTTTGTTGTCTTTCTAGTACTATTGGACATCCCCCACCCCTTTTTTCATTTTGGGGAGACGATTGCCAATCTAGCATGGGGAGGAAAAAGATGGTTGCTTTGTACATGAATGATTCCCCCCCCCCCCCCCTTTATTTTTTTTAACAAGAGGAAGATCATTAGAAGGTTACATAATAAGATGTAAAGCTCTTTCATCGCATAAACTTCATCCCTCAGCCTAAGGTTAAATTATGTGAATCATATGTTGAATATCTCTAGATCTAATCATCAGAGTTCCGCTTTGGGATATAAAACATAAATATTAATCTTTGCTTCTACAAAGCTCCATGTTTATTTTTATTTGGATAAGCATGTGTGAAGGCATCTTTACATTACCAACAGCCTGGCCAACGCCAAGCTAAACAATTTAACGTGAAAGTGATGTAACATTGATGAGCAATCCTCAGTCTTACCAAGATCATTTGAAATGTGACAGAAAAGAAGCCAAAATCACTATTGATGCTGAAATCATTTTTTTGCAATAAAATAAAAAAGAAAATATCCCATTAGGTGAAGATGCAAGAAACACCCTAGGATCTTGAATTGCTCCAATTGTGCCAAACTACTTACTAAAATAACCAAAGAAAACAAATGGGAAGCGATAAACTACCATAAAGAAATTACATATAAAAATGAAGACACATCTTTGTTCTCAGCTGATTACTCCTCCACTGCATCTCATGGATACCCTTTTTCTTTCAATAAAAAAAAAAAAAAAAAAAAAAAAAAAAAAAAACCACTAAGTCCTTACTCAGGGAGAATTTTACTAATGAATTAGATTGCTTACTTCCTCTGCCTTGAAAAGAATTGCATATTTTCCCAACCCCAGTGAATGTAGCAAGCCTTCAACAGTTTGTTGTTCATCACCCTATATAGCAGCCAGCCAAAAGAAAAAAGTAAGAAAAATCATCTAAACATTGCTCTTTATAAATCAATGTATGCATATAACTTAAAAAAAAAAAAAAAGCCTGGGATCAAACCATGACTAATAATTTATGCACGACCTGTAAAGCAAATAGCATTGAACACTTGATAAAAACATGGTTGGAAGCTTTGCAAAAATATGGTGAGAATCAAGGCAGCAAAGAGTCAGCAGAGAAAGCAAAGATACAGGCATAGAGGCAAAAAAGAAGACAGGAATAATTACTTCTTAGAATCCAGATGTGATGAGCAAAAGCAAAAAAATAAAAAAGCTTTCATAGAGAAGATTCTTTATGCATGTGATGAAAGAGTGAAAAGAGGAGGCGTCAAGGGGGTTCTTAAAGAACATGTAGCCCCTACTATTTGAAATTCTGTATGTGTAATAACATAATCTTAGGCACGTTAACATACAGCTTCAAAGCAGCCTCAACTACTACTTGTTCAGAACCAGAAGTGACCAGACCAATAGCTACCTACAGGTAGCAGAAACTTCTTAGAATAAGATCAAGGAAGAGTATGCCAAATACCTAAAAATGAAATGTCATATTTAGTCTCCAGAAGATAATTTGGAAAACCAACATAAAGATAATGGGTTCTTAAACTTTTTGAACAGCATATTATCCTGTAGACAACATTAAATGGTTGACCAAAAAACTAACTAGATGGAAGATCCAGACAAGATACTATATTGATCTTGACTTTCCAAGCATATTGGTATGAGAATAACATATCACGTTTCTTTTGACTGTTTAAAAAATGCAAACACAATAAACATTATCAAACAAAGTACATCAGGAGTTATATGGTAAAGAACAGACTGAAATTATGAACACAAGCAGCAGATATTCACAAGAAAATATATTGTCAAAAAATATATGTAAAACATGTTCATTGCACCCTTCACTGGTAGAATGGAAAGTAGACGGCAAATAGTACGTACAGAGTATGAACTTTTTTGTACAATGCCCCTTGGAGGAGGAACTAGACTTGGAATTGGGGGACCTGGGGGCATAGGCTTTGCTGAAGTGGTAGCTAATGTGGGCTTTGTAACAAAAGATCCAGTACGCACAGGCCTAGGAGCATCAAGAACATCTTTGCCCATGTATGGAACTGTCCTCACATCATCATATGTCCTGTTTACTGGCCTTCTCTGTAGCTCTTCAACATTTCTTGGGGGAGATAAACCTCTAGAAGCACCCATTACTCTATCTGGTGATCGTTGTCTTAAATGATCTAAAGTCCAAGGAGAATAAGAACTTCTTGGTGTGGTCACAAGAGGCAAATCATCCGCACTTCTTGTGGAAGGAATTCTAGCCAACATACTGGCTTCCCTTGATTCAGGCATTCGCTCCCTAGAATCAGGCATTCGCTGATGTGTCTCATAACTGTTAACTGGAGGCTGTCCCATTCTTGACAACTTTTCACGAAGGTCCATGCCCTTCTGGTTATCATCACTCTGAGCCCGTCTAAACACGTTTTTTTGCATGAGTTTAAATCGGAGGTCATCTTTACCAATGTGAACATCTTTTTTTTTATTCAAAAGAAGCAATGTTAGTAATCTCACAATCAGTTCAGAAATCAGAAAGACAAAGATATTGCAATGCAGAAGTACAAGTTTGTTACCATTCAAGCCATTAGCGTTCAAACTTGTTGTATGACCATCACCTCTTTGTCTGTAGAAAAGGCAAAGTAGTGCTATAACTTTTTATATAAGTAAATTTCATTGATAAACTACTAGTGTGAAAATGTATTTACAGAGAATGTAAACACTAAAGAGAAGGCAAAGGATTAGCTCTCATGGTGTATGTTAATGCAATTCTTTATTTTTCCTAAAGTATTCTTGTCCAACACATATCCAACACTCAAAAGTGGAAACAATATGCAGTCCTGAACTTCCAAATTATAGGAAAAACTTTGAAAAAAATTTGAACAAATCCATATCTAACAGTCACTCTCAAGAAGGCCTAAACCTGTAGTAACAGAAAACTCTTATTTCGATTCAACAAATACCGAAAATAAGGGATCAAATTTGCAAGCTCCATATAACATGAATGAAAGAACATCATCATCACCATCCTATAAGAAAAACAGAACATTACTTAAATAGCCATTGCACAAGCACCGACATTGCAAAGCAAGATTTTGAAATGCCGTCAAAACAACAGTAAAATTCCTAAAAACACACCGTTTGTTGTTGAGCTGACTTCCACGCAACAAGGAACTATCTATATTGCCTCCTAACCTATCCCTTACAGACCGCTTACTTCCAGCAACAGGATGAGAATCAGAAAAATCGACATTCGATGTTGCTCCAGCCCTCTTCACCACCTACACCAACATAATCAATAAAGTTCAGATTCACAACAAGCAAACAAAAGAAAAAGGAACTAAACTGGTTATTTTATTCAACAAAAATTAAAAAAAGCTTAAATACATTGAAATAAGTAAAAACCTGCCATGCTAAACTAAATCGTTCAAAGTCGAACTGAATTTATGTTCAAAGGAAAATTTTCCTACTAATTTCAAGCTTATTTCCTACATTTTATCAGCAACCAAACAAATACTTAAGGAACGTCACTAATTACTACTAAAAGGAAAAGAAAAAATATTAAGAGGAAAATGAATTAAAACAAATACCTGACCACTACGGCCGAGAGTGATAGTAACACGACCAGCTTCTGCCATGAAGAAACCCTAGACTAGTTAAAAATCGATTAATCGGGTCTTTCAGTTTTGAATTCTGAAGGATCAACTAAAATGATGCTTATCACTGTCTTTAAAAAAAGTTGAAAAAATAGAAACCCTAAGACAACTCAATGACGAAAATTAACTGTTCATTTTGGGAGATTTTGAACTTCGATCCAGAAAAAAATCGAAATGCAATCTTAACGTCACTGTTTTAAAAAATAATAAATTTAATTCGAAAATTTTAGGGTTTTCGAAAAAGAGAATCTGATTTTTTGGCCTAGAAGAAGAAAAGGGAAAACCAATGAAGATGTCGAGTGGTAGTGCGGCACCGGCACTGGAAATGTTACATGCGGTTGATCTTGTATGTTCAGTGTCAATATTAGACGTCTGACGTCTGATTCGTTCGTTTGCTGAGAATATCGAACGTCTGATTAATTCATAAGTCAATTTTCTCTATCTTTAAATTTTTTTTAGGAAAAAAAAAAAAGAAAGTGCTTTGAAATAAAAGTATGAATTCCAAATTGAGATAATGGATCAAAATATTTACCAATTGCACCGTGATAAATAATTATTTTATTCAACAAAAATAATAAAAAAAAATCTTAAAACGGATGTTGCAATTACTAATTTGTCTTTTAGCTTTTAGCTTAATTAGTGAATTCACTCGGGACAAAGTAGATATTCATGAACCAAATCAAGTTGATCATCAGTTAAAAAGTTTGCGGTTAGATTTGTTTTGTGTAAGAGTTAAAATTTTTTAAAAACTTAATATTTTAATATTTTTAAATATTTTTTATAATTAAAATTAATAAAATTATTTTATAAAATAATATTTTATACTAAATTCAAACCCAAAAAATCATATTCAAAATTAATTAGAGTTAATCCAGACAAGATAGATAACTTAGCTCAAGAACTGATCTATCTCAAAGCTAAGAGTCATGATTTATTTCTTATTAGAATATGTCCCATCGTTGCGGGTTTTTTCCTTTATTTAAGAATATCCATTTCTTTATTTCAGTATATGTAAATTGAATTCTTTGGTTTTTTAATGATTAATTTTTTTTTCATTTAACAATTAAAAATAAACACTCCACGATTGAGAACTTAAGCAAACATATTGTTTTTTTTTTTCTTTTAAAAATTGAAATATCCCCCCATTTAAATATTTATAAGATTGTATTGACTAATTAACTCATAATACACTCAACGAAAAAAATTAACTCATAATATAAATTATAATAAATTCGTAAGGTGAAAATTTTAAATGAAAACATAAATTTTTATAAACATAATAAGTTTAAAGCTTGCTTTTCAGTCAACTCCTTTTGTCTTATACTTAGGTGTATTTTTCATAACTTTTTATTATTTACTACTAATTTTTCTTTATTTTTTATTTTTTTACCAAAAATCTAAAACATTTTAGTCAAGTTTAAATTAAAAAAATTAAAGAAACAAAGGAAAATAACAAATAAAAATGTTCTAAATTTTTTCTAAAAATATAAATTAATGAAAAGTTCAAACTATATGTCATTTTCTTAAATTTTATAATATCCAAATTTTTATAAACCTTGACTATTTAATGTTTTAAAACTATTTTTAAATTATATTTTGTTACCAAAAATATTTAAAAGGAAGGAACATAGAGAAGAGAAAATAAAATATGAAAAAACAAATAAGAATAACAAAATAAAATCATAGTGTCATTTACTTATTTTTCCTTTTAATTAATAAGTGTATTATTCTTCTTTATTCATCTCTTTTTTTTTTCAAAATATTTTCACTCAAATTTAAAAGAAAAACAAATTATTGACTAAATGCAAATCTTTAATGACTTTTCTTAAAAATAATTCGAAATTATATTACTTTTAAAAACATTTTAAACAATAAAGTATAGAAAAAAATTCAAAATAATAA